CGTCGAAATTGTGTGGGTTCGATAATGGCCGTCGAAGTATGGTATAGAGTGAAATTTTTTGTCTTACTAGGTGGCGGTTCACTGAGCTAGTGTGTACACCTAGAAAATGGGCCGTGACTCGGAACACTCCATATACATTGTGTGAAGTTGATTGATTGAATCTCACTTCCAACAACACTGTGTTGTAAAGCAAATCCTCAAGATCCTCAGGGGTGCGGTGAGAGAGGATTTTAGCGGTGGATCACAGATGGCATTGAAGCTGGCAAACTTGGGTGCTAACACAATTGTAAAGTTGTGGGTGCACGAGGCATCTATCAAGGGCGAGCGTCCGGCGGAGGGTTCTAGCGGGCCGAGTCCAGGTCAAGAAGGGCAGAGACTTGGATACTGCCGCATTGTCTCTGCACGCACGCTTTTGGACAGCCCAAAAGCCATCTTCAAGGGCACTATCTCGGCTTGGAACCGTACCCTAATCTCAATTGAGGGTTGTATTCGTTTGAAGCTCAACCGGGTCGCTCCACAAGTGAGCAATAGATTCTACTCCCCACTGTCCTCTATTGTAGAATGGCGTTCAAGGACTGCAGATCGGAGCCACACAGGGGAGCCAAACAGGAGCTTCTTGATAGCATCGTAAAGATCAACAATTCGTTAATTCTGCATCCTTATTACTTTTGAAGAACAAGCTCCTTAGTCACAACCCATATTATCGTCAAGAGTGTGTGAACTTTTAGATCATGTGAAAGCCTTGAAATTGATCTAATGAAATCCGCGGCTTTGATTCGAAGGAACATAATATATTAGCTTCCGATGGAGGCTACTTCTGATTAGGGCTACTCATCGAGGCTACTTGATCGAGCATGATCGCCTGGATATTTTGCATGAGTTTAATCTTACGTCTCCATTGTCACGAGCAATTACCCCCAATAACCATGCGACAAGATCTCACTCCAGCATCGGCAACGCACAAGGTCGAGTTCGCCTACCACCGTACTCTGAGGACGGTCTGGGCTACGCTATCGATAGGGAACTTGGCAACAACGGGGAGCACGACGGATTCCTGAGAGCCACGAGCGACCCCGAGATGGCGGCATCTTGTTTCCGGTCTCAACAGACCAGTAATAGATAAAAAAGACTTCGGATTTCAGTCACATGCTTACACGAAGCACGATCAGCTAAGAAGAAAGAACTAGGAAAATTTGAAGCGATAGAACCAAGCGTAAGGTCCCCGTAGAGTTTTGTCGTTCAATACGGTTTGTGTATAACATAAATACAAAGTGACTCATTAAATCTAGCTTGACCACTTGAAACGCTTTTCCAGAGATAGAGAAAAAGGTCGATATCCTCAATTCTTGCCTTCCCTTGGCGTCTTTCCATGGCCAAAGCCAGCAAAGATAAACTCTCCCAACAAATTTCGCTTCGAACGGCAACTCATGTATTGCCTTGCCTTGCAAGATGATCATGCGTTCTGCCGTCTTCCAACACAAGAATGCAGACCGTGATATTGCACAGCATCACCAAGCTTGATGCCGGTACTCGTCTTGTTCAATTTGTGCATCGTCTTTGCAGCATGTTTGTCTCCTTCGCCCAAGGGAAAGAGCCAAACATTTTATTCTCCTCGAACCCGGGAGATCAACCGGGAGCCACCTTTGAGGTCTGCGAATGGTTTACGATAACTACTCTGTGGGTGCAAAAGATGACCTCACCTCCGATCCCAAATCTTGGAGCTTTGCGGTCAGTCCTAAGCACATCACATTCACTGTTCAGAAGCTCTGGTATCAGGGCACGGAGGTCGAAAAGCGGAGGTCGTTGAGCCTAGCATGCCAACCAGGTACTTGCTGCCCTTATCGCGGCGGAAGCATTACCGTACCGCCTGTCGGGGGGCGAGGGCCTCTAACCATGATACAAAAAGAAGGCCGACAACTCTTTTTCGATGTCCATTGAACCAGCAATGGAGAGTTGGAGGCTTCCGTTTACACGGATGGTTTTGGGACGGAGCACATACTCAAGGCTGAAGTTGTGTTTGCTTGGATGGGTTTCATCAATGTATCGTGCGAATTGACGCTTTCAAGAAGGCTTGCGCCATTGCATTCGATCATGATGCGGAAGCGCAAGTCACCCCTTAAAGAATAAGTGAATCAACTTGAGCATAGCATACTCACGATCAGAACGACGTGGTTCTTGCACGAAATACGCCCATCGGTTCGGTGAGGTGCTACCAACCGAAACTTCCCTTGAAGTAAGGTGCTGTCTGTCAGAGGCAGTGGTGCGTTGACCTGAACGCACAATTTGAGCGCGCATTTGATTGTCATTTGATTGTCTTTGGTCATCCAGCTGACTGCATGTTCTCTTTGCTCGTTCAGAAGCATTCCGAGCACATCAAGAACGTCTTCCATTCGGACCTAGTTTAGTTTGCAAATCTATCCGAATCTTACAACACATGGAACTGAGGTTGGAGACCATCAACTGTCTGATCCCAAATTGCTTAGACGTCACATCAAACGTTCTCAATGTGCTTTCGTTTAACATCCGTACTTGTAAGTCAAGTACTCTAGCAAACGACTCTTGCAAACAAGCAGGTTGAGTTGGCCATGGTACGGCCGATCTGTTTCACCGTCCGCTTTTGGAGCTCAATCTCAAGAAACTCTTGCGGCCTTGCCCAGGGACCCGAGCATTGGGAGCCGCTTCTCCGCTTGGCCGTGTACGTGGCGGAGTACACGCCCTTTGAAAAACGAGCTATTGTAACGGCCCAGTCGATGTTGAAGGACGTTTTGGCTTACGACGAGGCGGTCCAGAGGCTTTCGCCCGTCCCGCATCCTCAGGCGAATGGAGCGAGTGACCGCGACACTGAAGATTCTGCAACTTTTCAAAGAGGTCACCTGTTGATGGGGCACATCAAGGCAATCAGCTACGTGGCCACGAGCGAATCCTGCAGGAGGACGAGCATTACACGCTGAGGGATCCCACGGACCGATCTCGCAAATGTCTCGAGCTCCACGACGCTGGCCACAAAAAAAAGAAGGAACCGGGGCTGAGAACTTCTTCAAAAGCAGAGCCAACAGATCAAGCATAGGTCGAACAGGCAATACTACGAAGACAAAGGCAAATTCCGCTTACGCGATTGAAGAGGTTACGACAACTGCTACGGTTGCCATTTTTGCGACACTTAGAAACGGACTATGAGGCTGCTATCATATGTGCTCGGATATGCTATACTCCTTATGCTCGAAAAGCAAAAAGTTTCTCGCTGAAGCTCGGCTTCACCAACGACGCGGAAAAGTTCTATGCGGAGTACGGGATCTCGACACGCAAAGAGTGGGCGTGCAAGGCGGGGCCCACTCCGTAGTGGCGAGAGTATAACTGGAGGAGAGAGGATAGAGAGCGTTTGAAGCGTTTGAAAGGGCTCCCGCGCATGCAGGCCGGACCGAGAATCAAGACCAAGAGGGCCGCCCTCTAGCCGGCCACAACGGCAAAGGAATTTGGTAGAGTCGACATGACCGCCGCGCTTGATACCAACGATTGATTGTTAGCTCTCGGGGTAGCTGATCTGTGCCACAGATTGGCGTATGGGCACAATATTGATGTGACGTGATTAAGGGAGTTAATGTTAATCACGCCGCCGAAACGTTCGTAGAGGGCAAGATAGTAAATGCTTGGTTAGCAACGTGACGTTTGCGGACAGCATGATCTTGCGAGACTATGACATGACCAGGGTGGCTTGGCATGGTGCATCATGCCAGCGCGAAAGCTACTCTGTGGTCGTAAGTATGCTCCCGAAGTAGCCGGACGAAGGTCTTATACGTGACTAGATGCAGGCTTGGGCAATGCTCGAAGACCGCCTCTCTATGATGCGGAACTTCGCTGAACGCGAACAGGAGCAAGAGCTAGAATTAAACTTGCGGGGATCCTTGGAGACAAATCCCAACCAGCAAGCAGAATTGTCTTGAGAGGAAAGACATCGTTTTTACAGAGTTGCGCCTTCGTTCAAGAACGGGCCTGCAACCATGGTTCCCGCACATGACTGCTGTGACATATCGTGCCAGCGCTTCGCTGGCCAGACGTCACAAAGACAAAACGGGGTAGGGGCAGGGAGGCCGTCCCGCTTCCCACACCGCAGCTTGGGGCGACGCGCCGTAGGACTCACCGGGCATGACAGCCTCGTACACATCGTGCTGCAAGGTCGTCACATATCGATGATGGACATTGGCCTTCCGGGCTGCGAAGCGATGGCGCTCCACTACCTCAGTGTCGTCCAAGGCAATGTATTGGTAAACATGTCGTCCGCCTTTATGACTGCATGACGCAGCTAGGACTTATTGACGGTATTGAGCTTGGGGCACCAGGCGCTGCTCCAGGGTTTGCTGTCACGGTCGTTGGTCTCTATCTGAGTTGGCGTTGATGTTGACATTTAGGCTACCGCGCCGCCGGAATGCTCTGGACGGGCACTAACCTGAAGAATGGGGGCTCGAGTTAAGCCCACAGTGGTTATACTAGAGCTAGTCGGAATTTTGAGAGGAAAAGGGGGAAATGTTGGACAGGGTCGGGATTGAGCTCCACCGGCTTTTGGCTGCGGGCTAAGTGGGGCGTCGACACGTGATCCAAAAGCCCAGGGGACACATTTGCGGTCTCCTCCGTGATGAAATTTTCACAGCCACGGCCAGTAAATCCGGATCGAGGAACTTAAGAGGGAAAATAGCGACGCATGTGCGGCCTGAAGTTCGGCCCGTGGTCGCCCCCTCGATAGCGGCGTCGTACAGTGACAGCGCCTATTTTGTGATCATAACTCTACGGCTGTTCGCCATTTTCAATAACACGCGACCGCTCGCGCACACACGGGGAGCGCAAAGAACAAGAACGCCAAGATCGCAATGGCATGCCAAAAACCTAACCTATAA